TCTGGGAATGTGTCTAGCAGAAGGAATAAACTTTTAAATAAAATTAATTGTTCAGTTTGTGTTTGTTTAAAATTGTAAGATGCATATGTGAGCAACTTGTTATATAATTACTGTTTTATGTCACAAACATATTTTGTGTATTAACAGAATAGTTATAAGCACAACAAGATCCTGTCTACAAAGAAAAATAAAGTTACAAAAATGTATGCCAACTGACATTACAATAAAGTTTCCGATGATCTATGCCTGGTAAGGTTAACATGGTTAATAAATTGTTCCTGTTCTTCTTGTCAAGTTTTGAATAATAAACATCAGATTCAGAAATGAGTGGTCTCCTTACCAGTATTACCGAAACAAAGAGAATGACTTATTTTCCACTTGATCATAAAATGTAGAGAAATTTAAAAAGGGAAATATTCGAACCGGCAGAAATTTCAATGACATAAATATTGAGTTCTGCAACAGACTACATGTACATCAACCACCGACGCATGACTACTCCCACTTAGTACATATAGTTTTGCGATAGTTTTATTACACATAAAATGGTATTGATGGATATAATAAGGGGTAATGATTTCAGCTGTTATCAAACCTCAATTTAACCAATGTTCAACATCCTATTCTCAACATTGACCACATTTCTAGTTTCAACTTAAATTAACCCTAAAACAGTCTACCTGGACCCAAATCCTACCTATTTTCAACATACACTGACCACAGTTCAACCAGCTTTCGACCTGATTTCAACATACATTGACCACAGTTCAACCAACATTAGACATGTTTTCAGCATACATTGACCACAATTCAACCAGCTTTCGACCTGATTTCAACATACACTGACCACAGTTCAACCAGCATTCGACCTGATTTCAACGTACACTTACTACAGTTCAACCAACATTCGACCTGATTTCAACATACACTAACCACAATTCAACCAGCAATCGACTTTTTTTCAACATACACTGACCAAATTTAGACCCAAATTCAACCTTTTTTCAACGTTGAAAGCTGACGTTGAATCAACGTTATGTTTTCAACGTCATATCAATTTTCAATCCAACACTACTTTTCAACATTGATTCAACGTTGAAATCTGACGTTTATTCAATGTTGAATCAACGTTGTTGTGCCTGCTGGGGTACTTATAAATCCCGTTATTGTGCCATGGTGAATGTTTGTTTACATATTTGTTTGTTTTTATAGTGATTAAGATAATAAAACAATGTAGACTGCTGTACCCCTATTTTTGACATGTTTACTAATTAAGTCTGATTGTTTATTTCGCACATCGTTGTCAATATAATGGAATTTTATGCTACTGTCATAAAATTGAGAGGTTTAGCTAGCTTCGGTATTTTTGTTATTTTACTTTTGGCAAAACGTTTTTATTGTTACATTATTTAAAATTTTTTGTGATTTGAATTAGAGGAAATGAAAGAAGTCCATGCCAACGAGAAAGCTAGTTAAGAATACAGTAGACCCAAGATGCTGCGCCATTGTTTGCATTATCAAAAATATCAATCACACAACAGCTTACAAGATGATACATTTTCATTTGATTTATCATTCGGATAACAAATCTTCCAACTTTTGAAATCAATGTCTTCTTGTTATCTTTTAAAAAAAAACAAATGAATAGAATAAGAAAATCTGTAAATTTTGAAGAAGGGTAATTGTCCGTTAACGATATAATATGAATACATTTTCGCAGATGACAAAAGGCTTTGCTTATTTCATCTCTATCAAAATAGTATGGTAATTATATTGCCCAAACTTCGTATACAAATATACAAATAATGATTTGCGGTATGTACGCAAATACGACTTTGATGTTCAAAACCAAATATCGTTATCACCGTACAATTTCGAATAATGAGCAAAACCCATGATGTATAGTAAGCTATAAAAAGCCCAGGAACGACAATTCACAAGAGTAGACAAACTGGGTTTTTTTTGTCGTCTCTATGCTAAATTAATAGTCAGAACAAACTCAAAATGCAGTAAACAGCAAGTCCGTTTAGTAGCCATTGTGTTGTCAGTTTATTTTCGACTTATTAGTTTGCATTACCCTTTGGTATCTTTCGCCTCTTGTTTGGTGCATATTCTTTCGTCTGTTTTGTGTTATCTCTTAGTTTCTCTTTTGAAACTTTGAAACGAAAAATATTTTACATTTTTATCTGTTCTGCAGATATTAAGAATACACTTTTTAGACATTTGTTCAATGAATTCTTAACCAAAATGTGGTTAGTGAAAACAAAGTTACAAACGTACAGCTAAAGTAGCCTCTTTGTCGGATTTATTATAATAACTTTTAAATTGCAAAATTAGAATGAACGAAACCAGCCATCACAATTAACAAATATTGAGTTAATTGAACCTTATTCTATCTAGTATGATTTTCTTAATTTTATTGTTCCTGCAAATCAATCAAAATGGGCACCATCTAAACACTTAAACATTGGGACAAAACCTAGTAAGAATTTATGTTTCCATTTGTATTTCCACCAAAAACAATTATGGAACTCCTTATTGGATTTATTGTTAATTCTACCATTTGTTTGTGTTTTATTTTTCAATATAATTATTACGTAGAGATATATTGTGACTAACAAATTATCAGTGTCCCCAAACCAAAAAAAAAAAGTTTACCTGTTTTGCTTTTGTTTTGATTATACCGGATAACGTATTTCGATTTCAAAATTTAACACAAGGGCAAGTTTCACTGTCTGAACATTTACATTTATATAACTGATCGTTTTATTATAATTAAGGGGAAAATAAGTGTCCACTATCAATCCCTGATCACTTGATATAACTACACAACTTATTTTATAGGAGTATCACGACGGATGTCAAATGTGGAGCAGAATCTGTTTGCCTTTCCGCATTACATGAGATCATCCGCGGTGTTTTGCTCAGTGTTTTGTTTTTATGTTGTGTTTTGTATACTGTTGCTTGTCTATTATTGTTCATTCTTGCTATGTTGTCAGTTTGTTTTCGACTTATGAGCTTGAATGTCCCTTTTTGTATTTTACTACTCTTTGTTGATTTATGAAACATTTCAAGGATTCATTAAACTAAAAGCTAAATGTATTTATAGGTTTTATAACCTCTGAGACGTTTGATGTGACATTAATGGTAGCATTAATCAGGAACCTGACAAACTTACCTCAACCTGCAGGGGGATATGACCATTTACCATCGCCAACAGATATCACATCAACAGACGACCTGACAAGAATTAAATACTAGTACTACCGAAACAAGCTAGCTCATATTAAAGATGAGAAAATCACATCTCCTTTCTTCATGATTGCATGGGAGGATATAAGAGGGGTAATAATGTATTGTCCTGTCTAGCATTTTGTCTAAAGTAATTCTATTTTTTTTAAAGAATATATCATATCAAGTTTTCAGATTGATATGTCATGTAAAAGTCAGACCAAAATTAAACAAATTACATTTTTGTATACCATATGATAGATATTGTAGGTATAAAGACAAGGTTTTGTGTAGCTCAGGTGGCTGTAAGAATCGTTAACTTATTTCTTTTATCATTTCGTGACATCTGGAATAGTTTGCGATTACTATATCAAATATTGTAGATCTAAGACAAGTAATTCTAAACAAACTGTAGTGTAGTGTCATCCGCCATCTTTGATTGAAAAATAGCAGACCACAATCGGTTTGGATGCAATTATGTCAAAAGCGGTGGCAAAAACTATTTGCCTAAAGCTTTAAAAATAAGACGGTCGAATGCCGAGATATTTCATATCATGTAAACATATGCCCTATAATCTAAGGATTTCGTCTGGTATATGCCCCTGGTCCGTTCCAAAATTTTCAAGGTTCATTGGGCAAAATAATATTTTACATGATTAGGTATGCTTGGTGCATGGCAATATTGTAAGTTATCATTTCATGGATCAGTGATAATGCTAAGTTAATATGGTAACTGTACCACACCTTTCATAGTTAGTTTTGATCAGTTAAGCAGGTCATAAATTTCTGCTTGTGCATTCTTGTTTAGAATAATCAGTAAATAAAATAATCTAACATATATATCAGGAAACTTAGTCGGTGGCTGCTGTCTAAATTTAAGCTGCCTGTAATATGCCCTGAAACTGTCCTTATTTAACCACAGAAGGTTTTTTAAAAGATTTGTTAGTACAAAGATATAGAAAATAAGAATTTAGTTCAAGCTAGTACATGTATTTCTTCAAAGTTCAACATTACGTCTTGGTCGGTTTCAAAATACACTGACTACTGATAAAATGTCAATAAACAAAAGAATTAATGTCAGCTCTCTTTTAATAAATATGTCTCCTAGATAAATAGTTATATATATGAAACATCTGTCAGCTATATAAAACATATATATATATCCAGTTTAAGCAATTGTGAGCTTGACATCTGTATATTGTTAAAAAATGTCCCCTCTTATGGCTCTTACATGAAGATGTCTCAGCTTTTAACCAAGTTATAAATGTGTTTTTTTATAGGCCGTTGAAAGACTAAGTTGTTCATAAATGGAGGAGGAATGCAAGACGCTAAGAACAAAATGTTTGAACCAATCAACAGTACCTTGGAACATAAGACGTAAGTGAAGTAACGTTGTATTCGAAACACTATTTTTATTATTATTGCAATGAATGTTCATGAGAATTTATTGGATTTCAAATCTAAAAAACACTTCCCGGTATTATTATACAACTTGCAATTATAATAGGTTCCAAGGAAGGGGAGATATAATATTCAACAAAATTAAAAGTTAAAGTTGACTTTACTTAATTGCATTTTAGGGTAAAAACTGAATTAAATTGGAAACTTTGAACTTGCATCACATATAATAGCATTGCAGAACACCTTCTTATACATGTTTTAGACGTTTCAGTATAAAAGAAAATAGTATTGCCAATTTGTGTTAAAATATCATGTTACACATATCTTATATAATAAATAAAATGTATGTTTTAATATTACAGTCAGATCAGTCAGATAATGAACCAATGGAAGAAGAATAATGCATTTTTTGTAGAGACCAGAGCAGCAAAACATGTGCTTAAATGTATAAAGGAAAACAGTTGTGTAACTATTACTGCTAGTTCTGGTGTTGGGAAGACATCAACTCTCCAGCATTCGGTTTTGAAAATGGCGGATGATGGTTACATGTATGATGTACTACTGGTAACAAATCCAAATGACATTGTTAAGTTTTATAATCCAGAACAAGAGACATTGTTTGTTATCGATGACTTTTGTGGAACTTATTCCGTAAATCAATCTGACCTTAACAATTGGGAACCGGTTATAAAGCGTGTTGAAGAATTCATTAAAAACAAATTGACAAAAATCATCGTCGCTTGTCGGTTACAAGTGTATAAAGACGAAAAATTTGAATCTTTAACAATTTTCAGAACCAAAGTTTATAATTTGTTATCAGAAGATTTGTGCCTGTTACAAACGGAAAAGAAGTCAATAGCCGAGTTTTACATGGGAACAGAAGCTGCAGATATAATTCAATATAGTGATAAATATGATTGTTTTCCACTACTGTGTAAATTGTATCATGATAATCCTGACCTCAAAAATACAGATTTCTTTGAAAATCCATTCTCAGTGTATGAAGTAGAGATGGAACAACTAAGGAAGAAGGGACACTTTCTTAAATACTGTGCACTGGCTTTGTGTGTCATTACAAACAATGCGTTGCCGGAAGAAATGTTTACAGAAGAGATAAGTACTGTAAGAAGAACAGTCATCGAGAACACATGTGAAGCATGTAGATTAGACAAGGGAACATCGAGATTATCCCTATTGGATGAACTTAATTCGCTTGAAGAGACATTCATTAAAAAAGAACACGGTGTATACAAAACTGTTCATGATAAACTTTTCGATTTTTTATCTTATTATTTTGGAAAAAAGATGATTCAGTGTTTAATCAGGAATGCAGACAGTAATTTTTATCATGGAAAGATTTTTATTTGAAAGAGAAAACGACATGGATAGCTTCATCACAATTGTTCCACCCAAATACCATCAAATTTACATACAAAGACTAGTCGAAGATTGGTCAATGGGCAAAGTAATGCATGTGTTCGCTAATAACAATATAGATCAATCAAAATTCAGACAGAAACTTTTGATTTATTTGAACACACTTGATATATCACAACAAAAACAACTAGCTGAGACCCGTTTTGTTAGTTTAAAAGATACTGTCTTGTTACAGTGCTGTTTTAGAGGTGACATTCCTTTTATTCAGTGGTGTTGTAATCAAGGAGTTGATGTTAATCTTTGTAGGTTTGATGGTACTAGTCCCTTATTTGCAGCATCAGAGGAAGGCCATATTCAAGTTGTAAAGATCCTTTTGAACAATAAAGCAGATGTTAATAATTGTAGATTTGATAGAACATCTCCCCTGTTTGGTGCTTGTCAGTATAATAATGTAGATATAGTAGAACTATTACTTGAAAACAAGGCAAACGTTGATCAGGCTAGAAGCTATGATGGTTTAACTTCCCTGTGTGTTGCTTGTGGAGAAGGTTTTATAGATATCGTAAAAATGTTAATTACTTACCAAGCAAATATTAATGAATGTAACAGTTGCGGATATACTCCTCTGTTGTTGGCCTGTCTAAATAGTCATGTTGGTATAGTAAAGTTGTTACTGGAAAACAAGGCAGCCATTAATGAGTGTAGTAATAGTGAAACTTCTCCGCTGTGTGTTGCTTGTCAGAACATTTACATTGATATTGTAAAGATTTTGCTTGACAATAAAGCAGACATAAATATTTGTGATGATGGTGGAGAATCGCCTTTACTTGCTGCCTGTGAAAGAGGATACTTTGATATAGTAGAGCTTTTACTGGATAGTGAAGTAGACATAAATAAATGCTTAGATGGTCTACCATCAGCCTTATATATTGCTTGTGCGAATAATCATATAGGTATAGTGAAGATGTTGCTAGACAACAATGCAGACATAAATCAGTGTCCCAAAACTGGAGCATCTCCACTGTTTGTTGCATGTCAATATAATCATGTAGATATAGTGAAGCTGTTACTAGATAACAAGGCAGACATTAATATGTGCAGAAGTAGTATTTCACCTATTTTTGCAGGTTGTCATGAAGGTCATATAGAAATAGTAAAAATATTACTTGAAAAGGGAGCAGATATCAACATATGTGCGAGTGAAGACGGATCTCATTTCTTCTCACCCATGCAAATAGCTACCAAAAAAGGCCACAATGATATAGCGACTTTGATTTTTGATTATTCCAACATGCAATCACTAGTTTCAGAAGAAAGCAGATAAAAAGTGATATAACTGATTCTTATAACTCTACATATAGTAACAATGTTATTGAAAAACAAATTAATATTTGAGTATAAACTGTCGTTGCACTGAGTCATTATAAATTCGTTTTAGGTTTATGATTTAAAAGAATACAGAAAACAAGTTACTTATGAAATCTTATAATATGACGCGGTATTTGCATTATGTCTTCAGTATCAATGGTTATCATGGTTATATTCATGAACGAAAAGACAACTTGAGATCCATGTTTATAAAGTACTAAAGACGCATCACAAATATGAACAAAAAAAGGAAGAAATGATATCAAATTTAACCATAAGTAATTTTCAATATTCAATTTTCCCTGTTTGTTGAGTTTTCGAAATACATGTCCTGTCAAAGAGAGTAAAAACGCATTGAACAGAGACTACCAGCAGATATTTGAAACGGTTACATATATGAAACAAATTATGAGATTCCTGACCTTTCAAGGTATATTGGCACTCTACAGATCTTGAGTTTACTTTTCTAAAAACAATAAAAAAAATCATGGTTCATCTAAGTTTAATTGAAATGCGATTTAAAACTAGTAAGAATGTGGTTACTACATATAATGTTTTCGAACGTACTTCCGATCAGTATATTTGTGCAAACATGCAATTGTTCACTAAATACTCACTTGAGTTAGTCTTCAAAACGTCCTTATAATATCTTGCATAAAGTGGTTTGTTTCTGGCTAAAGTGGAAAGTCTTAAATTGTTTGTGATTCAGGTGATAGCTTAATCTTGTTCACTAAGTCTTTATTGTTTTATTATTTTATAGGAACTACTATATACAAATCCTGTTCATAGTTTACGTTCTCCTCGTGATTGCTAAAACGCAAAATAACATTGTTTATTCTCAGCAGATCCTGGAGACTAAACTTTCACCTCGTCATTTTCAATTAGTCAGTACTTTGGTGTTGAAATGAAATATCATTAATGTGTTAATTTTCTGTAAATTAACTGTTTATTAGAATTAAATTTTGCGAAATAATAAGGTTTTTCTAACCAGGCCAACTAAAACGCATTTGACATAATTTTTCGATAGAATAGGTTTTTATTGTCTTTAAATCACAATTGATTTGGTTTTCCGTTTGTTTTGAAACAAACAAATTGAGAACTAACACTCAAAACATAAACACAACCAAAAACCCGTGATACACTCTGGTAGTCAGGAAGGTAAGTAAATCTTGTAAGCAGTCGCTATCGGTTGTGTCTTAAACGAGGAAATCAAGATGGAATTGTTGAAAAGACAAGTGAATTATATATTCTACTATCTTCGACAAAGAAACTCAAACCAAATCATGTTGGCTTTCCTAAAACCTTCCAAGGTATTATTTTAACTTTTACAGCTTAACTTCTTGATGCAAAAGCTTCCTTAGCTGTAAGAAGTAACCATCTATAAAGGAAATTGAAATAGGAAACATACGCTCTGAGATGTTATTTCAAACTGGAGATAAATATTCCTTATACATGTATAACTTGAAATATCACAATTGCGAAATGGAAATCATCTCTGTTTTCCCAAACTGTATTCTAAATCGATCCTCTTTGTCAATATATCAAGATATCAGAGCTTACTATGACAGAGAGGCGAAAGATACCAACAGAATACCATTGTAGATCAAACTTAAAGTTAAAACGACAATGATGAGGTAACAAACACACAACAATAAAACCGACCAAAAGATAAACAACAGAATACAAACACAAACCACATCGTCGAAAACTTAAGACTGAACAACACGAACCTAAACAAAAAAAAAGAAAAGAAAATGCCTGTACCAAGTCGGGAATGTGACAAGTGTTTTTCACTTTTTCAGTTTGTTAGTAACATTTGATTTTGTCAGTTTCTATGGATTTCCCTTTTTAGCTCACCTGGCCAAAAGGGCCAAGTGAGCTTTTTTCATCACTTGGCGTCCGTCGTCCGTCGTCGTCGTCGTCGTCGTCCGTCGTCGTTAACTTTTACAAAAATCTTCTCCTCTGAAACCACTGGGCCGAATTTAACCAAACTTGGCCACAATCATCATTAGGGTATCTAGTTTAAAAAAATGTGTCCGATGACCCCGCCAACCAACCAAGATGGCCACCATGGCTAAAAATAGAACATAGGGGTAAAATGTAGAGTTTGGCTTATATCTCTGAAACCAAAGCATTTAGAGTAAATCTGACATAAGGTAAAACTGATTATCAAGTCAAGATCTATCAGCCGTGAAATTTTCGGACAAATCTGACAACCTGTTTTTGGGTTGCTGCCCCTGAATTGGTAATTTTAAGGAAATTTTGCAGTTTTTGGTTATTATCTTGAATATTGTTATAGATAGAGATAAACTGTAAACAGCAATAATGTTCAGCAAAGTAAGATATACAAATAAGTCTTATGACCAAAATTGTCAATCGACTCCTTTAGTCTTTTAATCTTCTACAAAAATCTTCTTCTCTGAAACTACTCAGACAAATTTAACCATACTTGGCCATAATCATTATTAGGGTATGTAGTTTAAAAAAATTTGTCCGATGACCCCGCCTTCCAACCATCATGGCTGACTTGGTTAAAAATAGAACTTGGGGGTAAAATGCAGTTTTTGGTTTATATCTCTGAAACTAAAGCATTTAGAGCAAATCTGACAGGCGGCAAAAATGTTCATCAGATTTAGATTTATCTGCCCTGAAATTTTCAGACGAATCCGACAATCCGTTGTTGGGTTGCTGCCCCTGAGTTAGTAATTTGACAGAAATTTGCAGTTTTTTGTTATTATCTTAGATATCATTATAATATCTAATATCTAATACTATTAATTATGATTTTAACTTTATTTTACATGAATTCCAAAGCATCAGCAAATACACGTGAGCGACACAGACTCTTGAGAGCCTCTAGTTTTAATTTACCTTGGAGTTCGATATTTTTGTTATACTTTTTTTTTTCTCGTACCGATTTTCTAATAAAACCAATTGCAATTAATAAACTTTTATAGTTTGCTCGTATGGTTTGTTGAGGGTTGAGCAATTACAAACATGTGTAGCCACGCCGACTTTTTTATTGGCCGGCCTCAAGTCAGGAGCTTGTAGTTCAGTGTTTGTTGTTGGTTCGTGTTTATCCTATGTGCTTCTCGAAACTTTTTTTGTTATAAATCAAGAGATTAAGATATAACGCAATATTGAATGTTGTGCCCCCTTTTTGACACTTTTACCTATTATGTCTGTTTGGTTTGCTCACACATTGTGGTTAATATAAAGAATTTCTATGGGACTGTCACAAAGGTGAGATGTTTAGCCAGCTATCAAATCAAATTAAATCCACCATTTTCTACATAAGGAAATGACCGTAACAAATCGGTAATATGACACTGTTTTCCATTCGTTTGATGTGTTTGACTCGTTAGTTATCTTGTTTGAATAGTTTCACATAGTTCATGTCGGAGCTGTTTTTAGCCGAATATACGGTATATGTTTTTTTTCTTATTGCTGAAGGCTTCACGGTTGCATAAAGGAGCTTACATTTACTTCATTTGAACTCTGGTGGATAGTTGTCTCATTGGCAAATATACCACATTTCCTTATTCGTATACAGTATGTATTAAGTACATTTGAATGTTTGATATTTTTATTTATGGAAATCTAATGGTCACAGGCGATTCAAGCTGCTCGATTATGAAACTAAAAATGTAATTTAAAAAGCAATTGGCAGATAATGTGTTATATTATGGATCAAGTTTAGTTTCGCACTATTCTAGATCGCTCTGTTTTCCATTACTAACACCAGTTGTTGATCATTATATCCATGCATAGAAAAATATCAAATGAGAATTATCGATTCATAAAAATATTAAAATGTTTTTTTTTTTGTTTTATGAATCAAGATTAAAGTTTCGCAGCCACATTGTTCACTTAAATTGCAGACAAACTATTAATTAGAAAAATCATACATCTGATTATGTCTAATTGACTTACAACCTTCATCTTTGTTAAAGATTTGATAAATATTTGACAAGAGGATTAACGTCATTTTAACTATATAGAGATTATACAATATTAACTGGCATCAGTTAAATATACACATATTTTTTTTATCGTACGTCCAATGTTTGTCCCTTTGCGCTAACGATTGTAATAAAATGCCGGAACAATATTTTCTTATGCGAAATATGGGAAAAACAATATCAAGGAACAATGAAAGAATCATTCCTCGGATAAAATGAGATGAGAATACGTGGCATTACCCGGTCCTTGATATTGTTAACAACAACAAAATTATTTATTTGATATATAAATGAGTTGTACCGTAACATTAGCACATAACCTTTTATGGTTGCACTTTGTAAATACAGCTGTTTCACAAACCACGACTCTTTTGGGGCGATATATAATATTCATAGATATTTTGTTTTGTTAACGTACTGGTTTCCATATATGATCTCTAGGTTCTATCTCATGTAGACATAACTTGGAAATGTTACCAGTATATAAACCCATGTTTACGGCGAATTTTGAATTCTGAGGAAGACCCAAAGTAAAGGGAGGGGTAGTACAGAATTTTAGTTTAAGTTCAAACTCTTAAAAGTTCGGGCATATAAATGTTGAAAACATGCCGCACAGCTCTATGTTTTGAACTATGAATAAAATAGAAGTGCATATCAACTTTCCATTCTAGGATATAATATTTTACGAAACTTTATAGTAAAAGTGGCAAAGTTTTAGCCGTAAGGGGAGTTCCTATGGGAAATTGAATTGTCTATATTTACAGAAATGCAACCTTTAATCATGGATAAATTGACAACACCATAGAAAAAAAAAAAAAAACAAAAACAAAAATGACGACAAGCGGTACATATCCACAAAGTCCTATAATAAATAATATAGATGGGCAACACTAACCACAACATGTTGTTAAACGGCAGATGTGATTGTGGTTTTGTATTAAAAGCATTAAACGAAATATGTAAATATATAGTACAGAATATCCATATGTTTGATTATAGTGCCAAAAAGAAGATGTGGTATGATTGCGGATGAGACAATTCTTCACAAGAGACCAAATGACACAGAAATTAACAGCTATAGGTCACCGTACGGTCTTCAACAATGAGCAAAGCCCATAACGCATAGTCAGCTATAAAAGGCCCCGAAATGA